TATATATATGTGTGTGTGTGTGTGTGTGTGTGTATGGAATTTCTTTTTTTTCAGATTCATTCATTTATTCTTTCATTCCACACGTATTCTTTTTTTTAAATTGAGGTACAACCGACATACAACATTATATTAGTTTCAGGTATATAACATAATGATTTGATATTTGTATATATTGTGAAATGATCACAATAAGTCTAGTTAACATCTCGTTTTCTCAGTGTTTTTGCATTTTTTTTATACATACATTTTTTTTAAATTTAGTTTCAGGTATACAAAACAGTGTAATAGTTATGACATTTATACCCCTCACAAAGTGATAACCCCCCTCCCCCAATCTACTACACCTCTGACATCGTATATAGCTGTTACAATTCCACTGACTCTATTCCCTATGCTGTACTCCACATCCCATGACTGTATATATATATTAAATTATAGTTGACATTCAATATTATTCAGCTTCAACTTCAGGTGTGAAGCATCTACACTGTCCATGAAGTGGTCTCCCTAATAAGACAAGTGCCCATCTGATACCCTACAAAATCTGTATTGTTTTCTCATGTTTTTGAAATCTTTTACAACACATATTTACTGAGGTATTCACTGAGAGGGTGTGTTGCTCTGTGCCATTATATAAACCACAAGTTTATGTAATTTATAAAGCACATGGTTCTTAAACATTTCAGTACCTAACAAAATATTTTCCTTTTGAATCTCCTAACACCCAGTCCACAGTGTAGACACCTAACACCACTGATGCTCTGACTTCTCCCCGCCTCCTGCTAATTTCCTTGGTGTCACTTTACAATAAATCTGAGAAAACCTAGGAATAAGTCTTCAACATTCAAATAGTTTTGAATGTTCTTTGGGGGCAGTTTCAATCTTTGTCCAGGGCTTGAAAGATCAAAGTTACTCGAGAGGTCTGTGGGGCATATGTGTGTGTACTTAACCCATAGCCTAATCTCAAATGTGGTTAAAAACCGAGCTTCCAGAGTTGAACTAAAAATCAATACCAAGCAGTGGAAGAGACAAAACTGTGTCCATAATACTGCTACATAGCAAATGAAATCTATAAAGGATCTTTCTTAGAAATAAAATTTAAAGTTCCAATTCCATCAGAGTCATGGGATGTAGAAACTGCAGTGCAATAAAAGTATGTAAGAGATAAGTTGAAGGGTAAAAATGACAGGAAAACACAGAGTAGATTGTGATGTATCTCTAATTACTACTCCATTTCAGGCTAATGGTAAAAATTAGTCTTCAGATAGTTGATAACATCAGCCTGTCTTTGCTGGTTTAGTAACCAAGATCTGTGGCCAAGCAAATACTTCTAATAAAATTGATTTTTCTTTTTGGCAACCAATAGGCCAGTCAATAATAATGTTGTTTAAGAAAGACTGAGTCATGAGGGAGATGAACCTTTCCTTCCATTTATTATGTTTATATTGTCTGTATTTTAAAAGAGGCTTCAACAACGAAACCAAAGAAGAAATTACAAGAGGAGAGCTATTCTAAGAGCTGATCTCCAAAAGCCCTCTGACTTGGAAGCATGTTCGCAACCCAAAGTGACAAAGCCAGAAGCATTCCCTAACTGAAGCGCGATCACGTGGACGGGGATTGTCGATAACAAAGGAAAATCAAGGCTAGGATCAGTGGTCACGTGAATACAGAGAAGGAAAACACTGGCCAGGAATCTAGTCCGAACTGATCCATCCCAAGAACCTAGACGGAACTTGTACATGGAGCTGACGTTCAGTAAACAGAGTTCTATAAAGCCACATACGGCAGTTTTTGGATCGCCTGTCTTGTATTACCCAAACAAACAGAATACAGGAAACCTACAGGCCAAAGTCTCAGGTTATGCCTAACTTGGGGACACTTCCTGCCAAAATACTCCTTAACAATCCAAATCAAATAAAAGACATGAGTACATCAATAGTTTGTTTCTTTTATTTTTGTTTGTTTTTTAACGTAGCGGTGGTTGGGGGAAGCGAGGACTGGAAAGATGATTTCAAAGTTCACATAGAAAAATAAACAAGCAGAAATAACGGGAAAAATTCTGAGTAAGTAGGGAAGGGATCTATCCTAAAAGATATTAAAACGTATTTTGAAGCTGTAATACTTAAGAAAGCACGTGAACAGATGAACAGAGCAATGGTACAGAGAGCCCAGAAAGACACCGAAGGGATACAGATAGTGACAGCTTAACGGGTACAAGGTCTCCTTTTGGGGTGATGAAAATATGGAACAATATAGCAGGGATGACTACAACATTGTTAAATGTATTAAAGCCACTGAATTGTACACTTTACAATGGTTAATATGGTGAATTTTACCTCAATTTTTTTAAAAAAGGTCTCTCTTCATCACTCTTACCTGACAGTTAATGTCAGCTCTGTATTGTAACAGGACTGTGACTAGTTCCTTATGTCCCCGATCACATGCCCAATGCAGGAGGGCTCTGCCCTGAAAACAGAAAAAGATAAATAATTTGTTAATCCAGTTGTGGAGCCATATAACGGATATAATGTTTTACGAAAGAGAAAGTCATATGTAAATCTGTGGTTAGTTATTCTAAGAATGACAGATATAAAATGCTCTGTGGGAAAAGCAGCAGAATTTTCAAAATCAATTGGAAATACTGTTTTTTTTTATTATTTTTTTATTTTTTCTTGGGGAATTAGGGGATGGGAACAGCGCTGGGGAATTGGGGAAGGGGAACAGACGAGTTGCTGTCTTTTTGTTCTTCAGTCTAGTTGTGGAGGACGTCGCTTCACTGGCCCAAGTTGGCTCCATCATTGCACTCTTCCCGGGTGAGGCA